AAACGATAAGAAAAGTAATAAATGTAACGATAATAAAGATCTGTAATAAAGAATTGGTCTAACCGAATTAGAAGTAATGGTCCAAATTTGTTTAGTTAAAAATCAACTTGTTGACAACTATCCAATCGATTTAGAAAAATTTAAATCAACTATATATATATATATAATCGATTTAATTATCAACTAGTTCAATTCCGAGATATTCCGTCTAGTTGGGCTAATTCGTGTTGATTTCTTTAGTTTGATTGGCTAATCGACGAATTTAGTCACTAGTTGGCAACTAATCGATTGGCAAAATTTTTACCAACTAGAAACACTAGTTTGGGGTTAAAGTTAAGGCAGATGTTATAGATAAAATTGCCTCTCCGGCATTTTATTAGTGCCCTGAGATAGGTTTAGATAGCCGTTTTTCGTGTTTCTTGCGATTTCACTTTTGTTTCTTCGCCAGTCAGTCAAAAATATACTAAAGCGTATAAATAAGTTACCCGGGCAATTGAAAGTTTATGACTCTCGTCCCCGTAAGTCGTGTTACGTGACACCGATTAAACCGTTTTTACTTTAATTTAAACGTTAAAAAAAATTTCACTTAAGATTTTAATTCATTTCATCACTTATAATATATGGAAGACAATTCTAATCCCTTTAAAACCTCACAAGAAAATAATGTAAAATCACAAAAACTTTCTGTTTTACTTCCTCACGATTCTTCAAGTAGCGCTAAATCCGTCTCTGACCGTTCTAGTCCGTTATCTGAAACCCGTATAAATGCCTTATTTCCAGAAATAACTCAACTAAAATTGAATAAATCATCAGACGACGATGATGATGAATACATGATTGAATTAAAGCTGAATGAAGGCAATAATATGCGTTGTTATACCTACGATGAAGAGGTACCTGATTTACCAAGTGATTTGGTAATTAATGACGAAAGCTCTTCAGGATCTAAAAATTGTGGTCTGTCAAGCGGTCAAGCATTAGAGTAAGTTGTTTTTATCATCTATTTACTTTTTACAATCATACTTATGCATTCTTCTATACACATTTATAGAAAATTGGTTAAAATAGCAAATGACATTCTTGATGAACACAATTCTCCATTGCAAACTAGCAAACGTATGTTAATTTTATATGTGTTAAATCATTTTTTCTTCTCATTCTAATTAATACCTTTTAATTTGTTACCATTTAGACCTTTATGAATTCCTGTTATAACGATTAAAATTTGATCCACCATGTCAGTTCCATAAGTAATATCCGATAACCTGCCATTTATGATATCCAATACCAATTTATTTAAGTTTCCGATATATATATATTTTTTTTTTTTTAACGCGAATTGGCGTACCGTTTCCGATATATTTGATTATAGTCTCATGAGACTCAGCTAATCAAATCAATGATGGGCATACATGTGGTTCAGATTTCCTGAGCTACAAATCAGATTTCAGTACGTTTTGTCACAAATCACTTATTTCTCAAAAACTGAATAAAAAAACTTCTTTAATGCTCTAATGAAAAGTTTTCCTTAAGCAAGTTTGTTATATAATTTGCTAGCATCTAACTCTAATATAAATATTAACTTTAACATCAATAAACTTTTGGTAAATTTTATTATTGCAAATCTGAGCCATGCACCAATTCTGCAATTTTGATTGGCTGATTTTCAACCTTTTGATCATGTTGGTATGGGGGGAGGTTAATAGAAAACAGGCAAATTTTTTCTAAGTAAAATCTTTTTAAACTTTTAATTCAAATATTTTAACAACTATCAAATCAAACCTAATAAAAATTTTTTTATTTTAATTCTATTTAATTATAGAATCAAATAAAAAAAAATTATCAAGTTTGGTT